CCACGGGGCCCGTGCCTGGCCCGGGGGGTCAGTAGAGCAGGGTCCCCCCGGCTGGTGGTCCCCACCGCCCTGCAGCCACGCCCGAGCTTTGCCAAATGGACCGTTCAGCTGTGCGCGCTGTGCCGTGGCCCCGCGCGGGGCGCCACCTACAACGCTGCTGCGCGCTCGGAGGGGGGCAACGAGACGCTGTGCAGACTACTTGAGCAAAAGGAAACTCTCACGCGCGCGCGCTATTTCAGCGCTGCCCCGGCCGGCCTATGTTGTGTGTGCGGCGCGCACGGGCCAGCAGCACCAACAACAAACACGGTGTGAGGGCGCGCGGTACAACTCCATGCACTCGAAATGACGACTTGGCTAAAAAAAGAAACGGCAACATCCGAACGAAATCAAAATGCATGTGCAAGTTTTTTCTTTAGGAAGGAATTGAAAGGATGTGCTATCTGGATCCAAACAAAAGCCACTATCTTCGAAAAAAAAATTCCCCTTTTATACAGTTCTACTTTTGTGGAGAGCGTCACAATCACGTGATCCACGTCAGCGCAAAAGGGGGGCATTGGCCTCCTCGTTCGATGGAGCCACAGCAGCGACGGAGAAGTGCATTGTTTCGTTGGCTTGTCCCCCCCGATACACCACCGTCTGCTGTATAGACAGCCGCAGCCCGATTGACTGTCCCGCCCGCCCACGCATACGCGCCGCCCGACCCGACGCAAAAGTTTGGCAGGCCGGCTCAACAAACGCGACGGTCTAATCGCTATGTGCATCCCGGTGTTGCGGGGGCCGGGGGCGCACGCTGCGACCTGGATGATATGGATCAGTGCCAACGGACCTGCCTACCCGTAAGAAACTCTCTCAATCCGCGGAATCCCCATCCGGACTATGAGGCGCCAAACTTTTTTTTACGTAACCAATCTCATTCGAGTGGTGGGGGAGGTGGGGGGAGAAGGCAAAATCACTTAAAATTTGCGAGACATAATATGTGAACGAAAAGGACGGAAAAGTAGATTTAACTCAGCTCGAAATTTTGAACAAAACATACAAACACAGTGAAATGTATATGTAAATTTACGACAATTCGATTTACAAAATATTTCGTAAATCTAAAGCAGCCCATTCGTGCTCGACAGTTAATTCAAATCGATGTAATTTTACAATTTCGATTATGCAAAGTGCTTGGCACTTTGTTGCACACTTTAAAGTGTTTGACTCGATCGATCGGTATTTGAAAGCAATGAAGCCTCGAACACTTGAAACAAGTGTTGAAATTTACTGTTGAATACTTCGATGTAATTACATAAAGTCAAATATCACTCAAAAGTGTGCAACATAGTGTTGAGCACTTACATGTGCACGCAGGTTGAACAAACGTACTTTATCAGCGATGGTAGTGTAGGCCCCAGCGGGCGGCAGTGAAGCCTATGTGCGCGCCGCTCACCCAAGGCTAAACGAGAGCCAAGGCTGCAGGATCACCTAGTGCATGGTAAACACACGCAGGGCCGCGACGGGCGCGGCTTTGAAGTCCTCCCGCCACGCTCCGCTTGCCTGCTAGCTGCTGCTGCTGCCCCCTCGGCGCGGCTGCTGCTAGCACCCCTCCCCTCTTTTCTCACTTTCTCTTTCTGCTTCTCGCTCGCGCCTCGTGAATGTCGTCGCGATAATGGTTTAACAAGCAGCAGAGCGAAGAGGCGGCGCTCCGCCGAGCAACAGTTTATTAGGAAGGCACGACGGACGCGCGATCCTTTACGTAACGAAACTAGGGAAGATGCAGCGCGCTTTCTCACTTCTTCGCCTCGTTTTCCATTGATTTCTTTCGCAGAAGTCCTCTTGTTTTCCACGCCACTGCGGAAACAACAACGACTGTTACCCAACCAATGTCCCTCTGGCTGGGGCCCCTGCTCCGTGCCCGCGGTCCCTTTGACCGATACACTAGTGTTTTGGGGCATCCGTAATTGGAGGGAGCCGTATTTGTACACCCCCCTCAACTCCCGATTTTTCCTATTGTGTTTTTCCTTCAGTTTCCGTCTCTCACCCGTATACTCTTTCGACAGTCAAAAAGACGACTGAGGCAAGAAACAAAATTTACATCTATATTCCCAGCAGCCTGCTTCCCATCGGCCTTCACTCGGCTTGCTGGCGCGTGCGCGCGAAGCAAGACACCGAACACAAAGTTGATTTTACGCGACAGAGGGCGAATTGTTTTGATGACGAAGTGATCAGAAGACGGACCACCCTCCCTCTACGAGACAAACAAGGTCCATTTTCCGTCAACGGGTGGGGCCGGGGCTGTCTGTCACCCTGTTTCCACTTCTCCTCCTGGAACGCGTTCAGTGACCCTCCCTTCCTGTGCTTTCTTTCAACCGTTCCTCTGTCTCTCCACGCCCTTCTGGCGTGAGATCAACCGGTGATAGGACGAAAGGGACCATACGGTCCGACTGGCGAATGACGGCTATCTCAAAGGAGGGGTCTACTAGTTCTGGTGCCTAATTGAAAGGGAGTCGAGGCTATGCTCCCGGCGTCCTGGTCCACACATCTCAACTGCACCAATGACATAATACTACAAGTTCAACAATTTGCTGTGGTAATGGACACGGCAAACTAAACAAGTTAAAAACAACGACGACATTCTTAAGTATAATTGAGGATAATTAAAAAGAATGCAGTAAAAAAAAAACATTTTATAAGGATTTCGTAAGTGCATTTTACATTCTTTAAAAAAATATTAATGCTCTTTTGTCAGGCGAATTTCAGCACAAACACGCGCCCGTTTCTAGCTGCTCTCCCGTTTGCTGACTCCGGCCGCCCGCAGCAACTCGCTGTCGAGGTGCCATGCAGCCGTGTACCTTACGCAACGAGCCGTCCCGGACCCGGCCTCAGCCAGACTCGGTCGCGAAACTAACGAAGTCGTTGGGGATGTGAGATAACTTTTCCTGGCCAGGCAAAGGCGAGAGAGAAATGCGAACTGGCAAAAAGTCGTTTTGGCGGAGAAAAGCAATGGACGCTGGCTCCTTTAGGGAAATAAAATTGGGATACTTGACATCACTGCAGTCGTGGAGGACGGGAAGAAGGTGAGGTGAGGTAGTGGTAGGTAGGGGTAGACAATTGCGTCCTCAAAAATGTCTCCGGTACATAATATGTTTTTCATGAAGAAATGAGTGCACTGCTGTAATCGCACCAGCTTATCCACACGCAAATCTTTGCCATGAAAAGAGAAACTTGAGGACGGGAGAATGTCAGCGATCAGCACAGCCATAGCCGTGTCAGCTAAGCTTTTCTTAGGACCGCGTAAACGACAGCGTGGCGTGGAAGGAAGGTAAGTGGCGCGAGGAGCACAGCTGGTGTAAGGAGCAGTCGGAGTTGTGTATAATTAAATACATTTAATTAATCAAGCAATATAATCCAGTTAAGAGTGAACTTTGCGCTCCGCGGGCGGCTCCCGCGTCTCCTCGCGCCGCCAATTAGGTGCATGAACTCAGCGTGTTAAAGTTGGCGGGAGCAGATTTGAGTCGTCGCAGAAGCAAGAGCGAGCGCAGGGCTCCCCCCCTCCCCTCCCCTCCCCTCTCACCTCGTCCCCAGAGCGAGGTCAGGGGAAGGGGGACGGCCCGCGTGCCTGGGGCAATGAGCAATGCACCTACCGGCCAGGCGTGAGAGGAGAGGGAGAGAGGGTGAACGAGAAAGAGAGCGAGAGAGAGCGAGAGAGAGAGAGAGCGGCACACGCCACACTGCAGCTCTTATCTCCCCAATGTTGCCTTACACGTCTCGCATTATGAGGCCCGTAAGGACCGAGTGGAGTCAGTCGACCCACTCGAATTCAAACAGGCGTACTGAAATAATGATCTCCTCAGAGAGCGAGGGAGCGAGAGAGAGAGGCATAGAGCGGGAGAGGGCGGCAGAAGGAGTGGCGAAGGAGAGAGAACGCGGCCCCGAACCGCCCCACACAGCCTAGATGGCCACTTTCAGTTCTTATTCTTTTCGCCCTTTCTCTCCGAGCAATTTATGTATTTGTTACGGTAGAGTTTTCACCACTGGTTCCAAAACAAGGGCGCGAGGGAGCCGTAGAAGCAGTCTTCTTCCTTTTCTTTGGCAACGAAAAAAAGAAGGTAATAATGACAATAAAAACAAAAGTGCGCTGTTCACAGCATGAATTTGTAGTGAGACCAGATGCTGGAAAACAATTCAGTCGGGTTTTTGGACCCATGTAAGAGGAGAGGGTGTTTGGGGGCGGGCGGGCGCTATGCAGGTCTCCTGATGTTACCTGGCGCAAGGCACACGGCCATCACGATGATCAACTCTCGCCAATAAAACAGCTCTGCATGACCATATAGCGGGGGCGGGCCGGGCCCCGGCCGGCGAGTATATCACAGAAAGAGGGGCGTTGAAACGGGCGGCGCGGCCGCAACGGCTGCGGGGGAGGGCGCAGGGGGCGGGCCCGGGGGCGGGCACCAGCGGTCGTATGGGGTCGGAGGTGCAGTACGTTCAAAATAACTTCGTAATCTGACGACCGTTTGTTCATAAATCTTTCATGCCGTGGCGACCACACCAATGCTGCGTGCGTGGGCGGGGACGACCGCCACCCTCTCCAGCCGAATGTTTCATTAGTTTTACCTCGCGCACGCTCGCACCCACGCCCCCTCCCCAGCCCGCGGAGCAGCCCCTTGCGGACGCCACCACATCGCCCGGGTCCGCGTTTTTTTTTTCGCCAATTTTATACGATAGGGAAAAGTGAAAAATCCGACACACAAAAAAAATGTACTGCGCGCTGCCAAAGCTCATATTGCCCCGAACGACACGCGCTTAGGGAATTGGGGGCGCGATGTCCGGCCTCGTTCCGTAACGCCTTAAAAGGCCCCCGCCAGCGCCACCTGTAGAGTGCGCGAAGCGCAGGTGGGCGCGTTTTT